CAGGACGTAACAGAGCTGGGCCTGGGCGCCCCTGTCTGGTCTTCGGCACCCCTCATACTGGGGCTTGCTAGCTACATCTCCGCAACTGCTACTGGATTTCCGCCACCAATGCCGGCGATCAGGGCAGACTCCGCATCGAGCTCGGGCTCTCCTTGAGGGCCCCACCAAATACCCCCTGCTTCCCAAGGGTTCAGGGTTTTTCTTTTCTGTACGTGGTTGTTTGAGTTAGTACAAATTGTTACGCAGGATTGGGCAACGGCTCAGGTGGCAACCTGGGGTGTGGGCTCGCCTGTTGTGTTTCTTATAGCTCTTGGTTTGCTGGGTTTCCAGTGTGGAAGGGTATTTCTTTACATGATATTTTGTGAGTCATCCTTAGCGATGCGAGGGGCTAACTTGCTCCGATTTGAAGGACCTGCTGCTGGTTGTTTGTTTCTTTATTGTTAATGCGTTTGGAATTAAGGCTTTTTGTATGCCATACCGCGAGGTCCATGTACGTTTTTGAGCCAGAATCAATAAACATATGAATTAAGAAAAAAAAAAGAAAAAAAAAAAGAAAAAAAAAAACAAAAAAAAACAAAAAAAATACTCGCTTATGGAGCCAAAGGCTATGAAGTGGCACTACATACATCAGGGAACTCTGAAGTACCAGGGCTATGGATCCGTCCCTTACTAGATGATAGTGTCATACTTTTCGTTGGGCACCCCTGCCAAAGCGCAAATAAAGAAATCCTCCTCTCCGCCTAAAGCCTAACAGTTACAGGAAACACAATTAAAGAATCCTAAGCAGTCCTATTCCTCCTCTCAGTAGCTGCCTGGTGTGCGTGAAGGTAGATGGGACACTCCTTGGATGTGGCCATATGGTTATTTCCACAGTTGTGGCATTTGATGGTGGTGTGAAGGCATGGCTTGCCCTTGGTAGGACAGTCAGATCTGCCGCATGCGTGGAGGTAGGCTGGGTGCTCCTGGGAACAGATAGCACAGTGGGGGGTTTTGTTGCATTGGGTAGGGTGGTGACCAAATTCCAAGCATCTAGAGCATTGGGTGTCAGGGCCAAAGGCAAGGTAGCATTGCACCTTGAACTTCCTGCCAAAAAGTGAGAGGCCTCTGCTGAGGGCTTTTTCTGTGGAGTCTTTGCCGGCGATAGTAAGAACCATGGCAGATGCCATCTTTTTCTGGCGCTGGGCTTCTGTGGTGAGCCATCTAGGAGGGCAGGGGAGGTGGGTGCCAGGATTGAAAGTTTCAACCTCAGCCTGGACTGTAGCAAAGTTGGAGGTAGTGGGGATGCCGTGAATGATGACCTTTTGCCAGACCTCATCCTTTCTGAGGCCATTGGCTGCTGGGATGGTGGCTCAGATAGCCTCCTCAATGGCAAAGCGGTGGTTTTTGAGAACAGTGGAGGCAGGAGTATTGTCCTTGGTGACAAGGAGAACATGGTGGTTGGGCGTGAACTCTATGTTGGAGATAAGCTGTTTCTTGATGGCTGTGTTGACAGCATCGCGGATGGTAAGGTGGTTGGTCTTGTCTGGTAGGGCCGTTCCATCTCTTTCAATCACAATCGTACGGTCGCGTTTGGTGAGAAGGGACAGGAGAGGAGTTTTGTTTGGCAGGGTGGTAGCGGGTTTGACTGGGGCTGTTCTGGCAGTTTTCTGGGCCCAGGTTTGCGTGGTAGGGGGTGCTGGTAGGGTGGACTGATGGGTAGTTGAAGGTTGTTGTAGGAGTTGCGGTGACTGAAGTTGCGCAACTTGATTGGTGAGGTTGGTGATCATGGATTTCAGGTCCTCTGTATCCTGAATATGGCGATCTTGGACGACTTTGAAGTGTTTCTCCATGGCAGTGAAGGTGATTTGGAGGATTTTGTATTTGGCGATCATAGTGCTAAGATCTTCTCTGAGTTGAACAACGTAGGTGTGCAGGGGGTCTGAGGCAGAGGCTGCTTCCTCTAGAGGTTGAAGAGAGGTGCCGACCGTGTAAACTGGTGATGGGGTATCCTCAGCCATCTGAGTGTCATCAGGCGAGGCTGGGGTTTGGGTTGGTAGGGGGTTGAAAGGAGGTGCAAGAGGGTTTGCAGCCCACTTTCCTCTGCCTTTGCCTTTGGGAGGCATCAGAGGGGCCGGGAGTGGGACTCAGTTGATAGAAGTGATGGAAAACAAATGATAAAGGATGATTTGTTGATGAAAAGTCTGTAAAAAGGGTGGGGGAAGCGGTGAGAGTTGGCTGTTAGCCAATGAGGTGAAAGCTCGGCGAAAAATTTGGTGTGGTTTTTTCTTTCGCTGTGGTTGTAATGGCAACGGAGTCTAAGATGCAGGCTGATTGGAGGAAAACTGATTCTGAGCAAGCTAAGTTCCCCACCCAACTAATAGGAGTGTTAAATACACTAAGTTCATTCCTGCCTGTAGGACAAGATGTTGAATAGTGTTACCCAAACCTGCAACCACCCTGGGATACCAACCTGCCTGACACCACCTCCAGACTTGACACCACTATCAGCCAGGAAGACAAAGACACTGCAGCCAACAGTCATATTACTCTCCTCAACTCCCTCAACACTTCAGAAAACCTTGTTCTCTACTCAGATGGAAGTGAACTGCAAAATGGAGGAGTAGGAGCAGGAGTGGTAATGATGCATTGTGGTGGGATTGGTGGAAGATGGAGAGTTGGATTAGGATGTAGGATGAAGGTGTATGATGGGGAATTGGTAGGTATTGCCAGAGCACTCACAGAAGCCAGCAGGTCCAGCCTATCCTTCAAGCACATCTGGGTTTTCACAGACAACCAAGCAGCAATCAGCAACACTCACAGACTCTCTCCCCACCCTGGACAACAAATTTCTCAACAGATTCAACAACTTACAAAGGATCTTCTATCCTCTGACCTGGACTTACAGCTTCATCTCCATTGGGTACCAAGTCACACTGGTATTCAAGGTAATGATGAAGCTGACAGACTTGCAAAACAAGCAGCTGAGTATCCCCAACCTGATATAGACAGTTATCTCTCACTGACCAAATTGAAGACACAGATCAAGCAGTATGCCCTTAAAGCCTGGCACCAGTTATGGACACAGCTACAACCAGCTAAACAGGGCAGACATTATAGGTCTATCCACTTCCACCTACCTTCTCTGCATCCTCCACTACACTTCTTTCAGCTCCACAGACCACAACTTGCAACTGTCACCCAACTTAGGCTTGGGCATGGCTACTGCAATTGCTATCTTAGCAGATTGGATGAGAATGTTAGTGACAGATGCAGTTGTACTAAGAGCACACCACCACCACAGACACCAGAACACCTGATCCTATACTGTAGCAGATACCAACAGCATAGACACCTCCTAAGATCAGTGGCTCAACACTTTCACCTCCCAGATGAGACTCCGTTGCCCTTACAACCAGAGCAAAAGAAAAACCCAGACCAAGTTTTTCGCCCTGCCCCTACCTCATTGGTCAACAACCAAATCTTCACGCTTCCCCTCCCACTCTACAGACTTTTCATCAACAAATCATCCTCTATCATTTGTTTTCCATTACCTTTTATCAACTGAGTCCTTCTCCCATCACCTCTGATGCCTGCATGGGCTAGAGGCAGAGGCAGGGGTGCTGCCAACCCCCAGGCAACCCCATTCCAACCCCACCTGAGTACCCCAGCTCCACCCACGCCTGGAGATACCCACATGGATGAAGACATTCCTTCGCCTTTGGACACAGTCCAGCCTCCCGCTACTCCTAGCCAACCCACACCTGGCTCTGCTCAGTGGTCCCCATGGGAGCCAAACAACCCTGACAGAGACACAACCTTGAACACCAAATTGCGAGTCAGCTACCTTGAGGACTCCTTTCACTCACTCATCGCCCATCTCGGCATTGTCCAGCAAAGACAAATCAGTGATACAGCTGTCTTGAAAGGGGAAATTGATGAGCTCAACCAACAAATTTCAGACCTACAGCAACAGCTTCAACAGCAAGCCTCCACCCCCGCTCCCCCACCACCAACCCTACCAAACCCCCCACCTCAGGAAACCTGGGCCCAGAGGACAGCCAAAGCACTCCCTGCCCGCCCCTCTACCACTAAACCAAACAGAACTTCACCAGCTGAAGGTTTGACCAAACGCGACTGTACCATTGTTATTGAAAGAGATAGCACTGCCCTCCCAGATGACACCAACCACCTCCACATTCACGATGCTGTCAATACAGCAATCAAAAAACAGCTTATCTTAACCATTGAGTTCACGCCTAACCACCATGTCCTCCTCATTACCAAGGATAACACTCCTGCCTCCATAGTCCTCAAGAAGCATCGCTTTGTTATTGAGGAAGCTATTAGAGCTACCATTCCTGCCGCCTCTGGCCTCAGAAAAGATGAAGTCTGGCATAAGGTCATCATTCACAGCATCCTAACTACTACTACCTTCTCCACAGTCCAGGCAGAGATTGCAGCATTCAACCCTGGCACCCTCCTCCCCCGCCCTCCCAGATGGCTCACCACTGAAGCCCAATGCCAGAACAAAGCTGCATCAGCTATGGTTCTCACGATTGCAGGTAAAGTCCCTACAGACAAAGCCCTCAGTAGAGGCCTCTCCCTTTTTGGCAGGAGGTTTAAGGTGCAACGTTACCTCACCTTTGGTCCTCACACCCAGTGCTCCAGATACTTGGAGTTTGGCCACCACTCAACCCAATGCAACAAGACCCCACACTGCGCATCTGTTCTCAGGAACACCCAGTCCACCTCCACACTTGCGGAAGGTCAGACTGCCCTACCAAGGGCAAACCATACCTTCATACCACAATCCTCTGCCTCAACTGTGGCAACAATCACCTTACGACCTCTAAGGATTGTCCGACCTACCTACATGCACACCAGGCACCAACTGATAGGAGGAGCAGGGCCGTTTAGGTTTCATTACCTTGTATTTCCTTTATCTGTTAGGCTTTACGTGGGGAGCAGGATTTATTTTGTTGTTTGCGATTTGGCCGGGGTGCCCAGCAAAAAGATGACACTATCATGTAGTAAGAGACGGAACCATAGCCCAGGTACTTGAGAGTGCCCAGATGTATGTAGTACCGCTTCATAGCCTTTGGCTCCATAAGCGAGATTTTTTTTTCTTTTTTTCTTTTTTTTCTTTTTTAATTCATATGTTTATTGATTATGGCTCAAAAACGTACATGGACCTCGCGGTATGGCATACAAAAAGCCTTAATTCCAAACGCATTGACAGTAAAGAAATAAACACCCGGCCAAGGCCAAATGAGTTCCGGTACCCTCTTGCCCCCATGGGCCAGGTCTCCAAATAACCTTCCTCGCG